GATGCCCTTTCTCTGTGATTCGATGCTCTCTCAACATGACTCGACGATGACTTGGCGCATACATCTTTCCAACTTCCCGCTCTGGTGCTGCTTGATGGCTCGCATCCATCGTCTCGCTTTGCGGCATCTTTGAGCAATCTTGTACGTGTCCTGCTTGGTCTCGCAAGAAGTGCGTACTGACTCTGCCCAAGATGGCTGCTTGCGAAGCGTCAGTCCACAGGGCCGACCTGCCAAGCGACGTGTCAGCTCGCATAGGTCGACCCCTCTCTGATCTTCCGACGCCGAGCTGCGTGGTGGATGTGCATCCCATGCGAAGCAACATTGCTCGAATCTATACTCTGTACGCTTCCACTTCTGGCAGGATCGGTATTCGCTGGCACCTCAAGACGCACAAGACATGGCAAGCTACAAGGGAGATGCTGAGGCCGGCGTACGTCGATGAGCAAGGCACCAACAGGCGTGAAACGGTAGCTTTGGCCGAGACTTGCGATGATGCGAGAGGGACTGATCGAGCGATCGTGTCCACTATAGCAGAGCTGCAAGGACTCCTCACCGACGGCATCGTCAATGACGCCAAATCGAGCATCCTAAGTCAGGTGCTGTATGGTCTGCCACTTTCCCCAGGTCGCATTCCGCGACTTGCGGCCATCAGAGCAGAGTACAAGCGTGCATTCGGCAGCGCAGTAGAAAAAGAGAACGGCACCACCAAGGGAAAGCCGACTGAAGTTCAGATCTTGCTGGACGATGTGCAGCAAATCGAAGCTCTCGAGGCGTTTGCCAAGCAACAGCAACCCAACGCTGACCAGCCTTGGCAGGCTTTTATCAAGGTAGATTGCGGCTACCGGTAAGTCCTTATGCGTGCCAAGCTCTCGCGCGATCCGCTCTTTGCTGACCCTCTTATAAAACGTTCAAACGTCTAGTCGAGCAGGCGTCCCGTTCGAAACGAATCAGCTCACGAACGTCTTGCACAAAGCGCTGGCTTCTCCCGCTATCCACCTGGTGGGCTTCTATACGCATGCAGGTCATTCCTACGGCTCCAGATCCCACTCCGATGCCTCGTCAATGCTATCGACCGAGATCAATGCCGTATCTTCCGCAGCCAAAGAGGCGCATTCCATCTTACGATCATCCAGCTCGTCAGCTTCCAGACATCCTAATCAATCGATCGAGCAAGCTTTCACCCTAAGTGTGGGAGCCACGCCTACATTCCATGCGGGTAGGGACAGCACTTCTTCGGTCTGGAACAAAATTCTCTCTTCACTGCCTCCGAGCACATCTTTGGAGCTTCACGCGGGCAACGCACCCTTTTTGGATCTCCAGCAGGTAGCTACGCGTCTAAACGATCCGGACGCCATTTCGCGCTGCGCAGTGACGGTGCTCAGCGAGATCATCTCCGTCTATCCGCGACGTCGCCCACAAGTCCTGTCTTTGTCTTCTGAAGAGGCCAGCGACCAAGCCGAGCAATCGTCCGAAGGACATTGGGACGAAGCTCTGTGCGATGCGGCAGGCACTGCGTTGAGCAAGGATACGGGCCCTTTTAGCGGTCATGGACACGTCTACTATCCCAAAGACTTGAGAGGTTGGAAGTTGGACCGCATATCGCAGGAGCATGGTGTGCTCGCTATCAGGGATGGACAAGTGGAGGAGTGGGAAAGGGAATGGGGTGTGGATGTTCAAAAGGAGAGGGGCAAGTTGATCAAGGGAGCTCCGAGAGCGTTCAAGGTTGGCGAAAAGGTCAGAATTGTTCCTCAACAGTGAGTAGACAGCAGCCGTTATGCGATGGCAAGACCTAGTCCAATCGAGCTCTAACGCGTGCTTCCTACCTTGCACACAGCGCTTGTATGGTAGCAGCAGCCCACGAATTTCTCTACATCGTCGACTCCTCGGACCAGTCAGACGGCGGTACCATAGCGGATGTCTGGAGACCTTGGAAAGGGTGGTAGAAAGGTGGGACATGCGCGAGAATGATCAATCTCGAAGACGTTGAACAACACGACTCTGATTGACTGACCATCATTCGTGATGAAGAGCATTCGCTTATGATTTGCGCACATCTCACGCAAGTATGGCAGCAGTACGGGCGTAATGTGGGTGACATTCGTGACTTGAGCAGATGCGGCACGCAGCATTGATGGTCGTCGAGCGCGGGATCATGCAAGCAGGGCAGGGATAGAGTCATGCACGTCGAACGAGCCGCCCGCGTCATGCATGAATGCGAGCTCTCAACGCTCAGCATACACAGCACAAAGAGCGATCCACAACCTCTTGTAGAAAGAGACGAAAGCTCTTTCTCCTCTCTCCCAAGCTGATTCCTCCTGAGCTCTGATCTGGTGAGCGATGGCCGCGTAAACGCAGCAGGCTGCTCTGAGGCCTGCTCGAGCGGGCACACAGGGCAAAGCCCTAAGCGCTGGCAAGGACTGTTCAAAGATGTCTTCGGCGTGCTCTAACAAAGCAAGAACATGAGGTCGGACGTCCCTCGTCGTCGGTACGTGGTCGTCCTCTGTCTCGTTATGCTCGGCAGTAGGTGCCTCGGCTGCTAAGCATCGAATCTTGCCTAGAGAGAGTGCGTGCGAGATCCACTCGTCTTGCGGCGTTGAAATGACGAGGTAGCACCGCTGGAGGCTCTGTGCGTCGCTCACTACATCCCTGGCGATGTTGATGAGCTGCAACGCTACGCCCATATTCCTAGCGTTCCACAAAAGCTCTTCCATCCCCCGTGTCGAAGCGTCGCTTTTCTTGTCAAATCGAGCATTTGGCGCTCGAATGTCCCGGCTCACGGCTAAGTCCTTGGGTACCAAGTGACCAGTGCGACTCAACACCACTCGAACGACCATCTCTCCAATCACTCCCGCGACACATTGGCAGTAGTCGATCAGCTGCTCTTCTGTGCGCATTGTTCGAGAAGCCTCGAACCCGGGAATGCGGGCTTTGGCCGTGCTTCCGAGCTTCAGGTCCATCTCGTATCCCCTCAATAGCTCTTGGAAGAGAGCCAGAGGCAAAATGTGTCGAAGTGAAATGCACGCACAAGCGCACGCCCTCACTTCCTCCAGCTGATCAGCCGCGAGCCCCTCATCCCCTCCACCCGTGGAGAAGGACGACACCGCCCGGAACACGTTGTCCCTTATTTGCGAGTCGGTTGTGTCTTTCGAAGGATCAAAGACAGCGTCGATGACGCCATGCAAGAAGTCAAGCTTGACGTTTCGTTTGCTCGAAATTCCTTCCACCACTGCAGTCGCTTTCGATTCGGCGGTGGGGACAGCCTCGTCGACGACATCGTCAGCGGCCCTGCACAGCGCATACAGGCAGGACAGGTCCCTGCGCAAGTCCCAGGGTAAAAGTTTGGCTGCAGCAGCGAAGCTCTTGCTAGCTTTCTCCAGCACTCGCAAGGCGGTCCGAACATCGTCTGCTTCGTCGCTACGCTCCATGGACCCCTTTGCCGATCCAGATGAGAAGCTGTCGAAAGAGATGAAAGCTTTCCAGAGGACACCAACGGTAGACCAGGCCAAGGGCAGATGGACTGCGCCTAGAGGTGCAACACTGGACGGAGCGCAGACGCGCAAGTGAAACACAGTCGTGTCAAAGGCCAAGAAGGCGCTCAGCAGCAGCAAGTTGGTGACTGCAAAGAATGCGGCTTCTTCGATTGGCAGGTCGGACACCGGAAATATGTTCAACGAAGTGGCCTCCTGCGGAAGAGAAGATGGCACGCTTGCAAGAGAGTCAACAGCCTAGAATGCCGCGATTGGAATGATGCCATCGGAACTCACGTTGATGTGCCACGTACCCCTCTGCATCGCGTAGCGATCAGCAGCACACAGAGCAAATGTTGGGATGATCCAGACAGAAAACCATAAAGCTTTTCGGCCGAGAGACAGCGCTTGCCAAGCCCCTTGAACGCCAAACCAGAGGAGCGTGAGTGGGACTGAGACCCACCAGGCAATCATGCCGCCATAATACGTGTGTGTCTCCTTCTTGGCGTAGTGCAGCCCGACGCAGAAGACGACAATGGGCACGAGGAACAGCCTTCGCCGGTGTGTCTGAGACGCAATGGGCGGTTGCCATCGAAGGATCAACGTGGCAAAAAGCGTCGTGATGAGCGATTGGATGATGAACTGGGGTACAAATGCGTCAGCTCTTTCGATCAGCAGGTGCGCAAGGGCTACGAGTTGGCGCGGCAAGCTAGACTTACAAATGCGTACTCTTCCACTGGCACATGACCTATTCGAGCCAGCACGCAGGTTTCCGGATAGCTCCAAGCTTTGTTCTTGACAATGACGTTATCCCACGGTGTAGTCCATACCAACGCCAGAAGGGATATCACCACCAGCTTGGCCTTATCCAGTCGAGCAAGGAATGGTCTTGCAAGACCATACAGCAACGCAAGCGATGGTAAGGTGAAGCGCAAATGGAAATCGGAATAGCGAAGAAGGCAGGCGGTTGATGGACTCGAGATGAATGAGCTGAGAAAGACGGTGATGCTCAAAACGACGTGCATCAAGAGGGGCGAGCGTCGATACCGAGAATCGCCAGTCGAACGCGCTCGCCGTGCAACGTGAGTGATCGTCGTCATTTTGTCGTTCTGAAATCTCTTGACCGTGCTAAGGTACGCTCGGTTACCAATGAATGTTGTCGTGAGTGAAAAGAGGGGGCGAAATGGCCGTCTGAGTGAAGCGGACAGGAGACGTTCGGTGCAGCTCGCATCCCGAACTTTGACGTTGCGTGAGGGTGGGTGCTAAAAGGGATCCAATTGACGGCAGAGGCCGGCCTGCGCCCGAAACACACAGCAGTCGTGAGTGCGAGCGTGAGATGATTGGGGGAGGTCAGGAGGAGTGTGAGATCCAGATAACGGCCGGCAAAGGGAAAGCAGCAAGGCATCAGAGTGTTTTTGCCAACCGTCTAGCCGCGGGCTTGACTCCATGACGAAGGAATTAAAGGATGCAACAGCAGCAGCAGAGAGCAATTCGTGCTTGCATTCGTGATTTGGCGGCAGAGTGGAGGGCCGCGCGGCGCATGCAATCAGCAGGCAGCAGCATCCCGCCTAGCGGCTGCATCCATCCAACCATGACGGACCCTGCAGATCCGACCCGGCATGATCTGTCGGCACGGGTGCATCGCCTGCAAAGGAGCTTGGCTGCTGAGCCGGCGGTCAAGCTCGCACTCACGCTCACGCTCCTCAGTCACGAGCGTGTCATAGGTATCAATGTGTGTAGGGCTGCTGATTCATAACTGAATCACACTGAGTGGGTCAAGACTCTCGTCACGACCCCGCACGCACGCAGGAAGGACCAAGCTGCCATAGCATTCACAGCATGCCTGACTCGCGTTCTTGATTGCAATTCACCCCAATTCACGCTTACCGGCCATAATCGACGAGGCAGCAACGTGACTGCGGGGCTCATTGAATACCTTAATTGGTGCAGCACTTGGTCGATTGATCTTGTGGTGAGCTCA